ACCGGTACAAGCTTGCCCCAATCGCTGTCTTCCGAATGACAAGGAGAGACGAAAACGTGAAGACGTACCCGGATTGTCTTTTCCTGGTGCACTTCCAGAAAGGGACGGTGACGCTCAATGCGCTACAAGCCATCCGATCAATCTGCTCCATCATCGTACGGTGGGAGCCATACCGTGGCGGCCATCGTGATGTAACGCAGTGTATGAGGTGCCTCAATTTTGGACACGGTACCCGCAACTGCAACATCAAGCCACGCTGCAGCAACTGCGCTCAAGAACACGCCACTTCCAACTGCCCTGCGGATGGAGCCGTGGCGATAAAATGCGCTAACTGTGGTGGTGCACATCAAGGTTCCGACAGACAGTGCTCCAAACGCGAGGACTTCAAACGCATCCGAAAGCAGGCGTCAAGCAACAATCAACCAGGACGCAAGAAGGACAAAACCCCAGCATTCAGGACGGAGGATTTTCCGCCTCTTCGTGCTCCCCAGCAAAGGCAAGCGGCCCCCCTCAAGAAGCTTCCGGTGATTTTGCTGGCCAAAGCTCTCCATCCCCCCCTGGATTCTGGAGACAACCAACAGCGCAAAACAACAACCCCGATCTGTTCTCAGCGGATGAACTGATGGAAATTTTCGTCAACATGTCCGGTGCTCTTCGTAAGTGCCGCAATAAGCCCGAACAGATCCAGGTGCTCGGTAAGTTCATCATCCAGTATGGCGTCTAAACCGCTAACTATCGTCACCTGGAATGCTTGCTCTGTAAGAGCAAAAGAGATTGAGCTTGCCGACTTCCTCCGCAAGCACAGCATCGACGTGGGCCTTCTAACCGAGACCCATCTAAAGTCCGGCGACAGCTTCTGGTTGCCTGACCACAACATTATCCGGCTTGATCGCACCAGCTCCAGGGGGGGTGGTGTTGCGGTCGTCGTCAAGAAAGGAATAAAATACCACACTCTGTCCCATATCCGCACCTCTATCATCGAGGCCCTTGGTGTGGAGGTGGAGTCGTCGACTGGATACGTCCAGTTCATCGCCGTCTACTGCCCTCGACAGTGTGCCGCCAGCAGTGGACTAGCGGCTAAATTTAAGAAGGACCTGTCCACCATCACCCGTACCGGTTCCCGCTTCGTTGTTGGAGGAGATCTGAATGCTCGTCATGAGGCATGGCGGAACTACCAGCAGAACCAGAACGGTCGTCTGCTGTTCGACCATTCGCAGCATGGGCTGTACTCCGTTTGGTTCTCGGACGAGCCAACATTCATCTCACCGGCAGGCAACCCATCGACGCTAGACCTGTTTCTTTCAAATACCGGCTTGTCCAAGCCGGTAGCCTTAAACGAACTCAGCTCCGACCATCAACCGGTGGTGGCTGAACTGGGATACAACGTAGCTGCTGCTCCAAGCCTGCGCAAGGACTACCATCGCGTAAACTGGGCCCAGTTTGGACGCGTGGTAGACAGGCACATCATCGACAACCCGCCGCTTGACTCCGTGGAGGACATCGACCGAGCGTTGGAAGTACTCCACCAAGCCATAACCGTGGCTGACGAGGCGTGCATCCGACGAGTTCCTGTGAGGGGTAAGTTTATTGCCATTGATTCCCACACCCAACTCTTAATTCGCCTGAGAAATGTTCGTAGACGCCAGTTTCAGAGGACTGGAGATCTAGCGAGGAAACGTGAAATGGCCAATCTGAACAAGGAGATTGCTTCCAGAATGGTCTCACTCCGGAACGAAAGTTTCGGGCGGCTTGTCCAGAATCTGGACGACCGCTCCAGACCATTCTGGAAAGTTGCCAAGGTCTTAAAGACGCACCCTAAACCCATTCCGCCACTAAAAGATGAAAATGATGACGATCGGCTCATAATCACCCCTCAGGAGAAAGCAAATGCGATTGGTGAGCATATTGCCAAATCGCACTTGCTTGGCTCCAACATCCAAAGTCCGCTCGAAGTTCAGGTTGAGCAATGCGTACTCAACCTTGATTCCTCCCCTTGTGCCATCCCTCCGGAGGATAGAATCACAGTGGAACAGATTTGCTCAGCGCTGAAATGCACCAAAAACATGAAGGCCCCCGGGTTTGACGGAATATTCAACCTAGTGTTGAAAAATCTCAGCATGAAGGTTCACTCTCTGCTGGCTGCTGTCTTCAACAGATGCTTGGAACTGCACTACTTTCCAAGTATCTGGAAGACAGCGAAAATCATACCTATCCGCAAACCCGGGAAGGACCCAACGCTAGCTTCAAGCTACAGACCAATCAGCCTCCTTTCAGCGCTGAGCAAATTGTTCGAGAAACTCATTCTCAATTGTTTGCTCAAGTTTGTCGAGGAAAATAACATTCTCCTTCCGGAACAGTTTGGATTCAGAAAGGGGCACTCCACCAATCACCAGCTAGTGCGGGTGATGAATAACATCCGAAGTAACAAAGCTGTATCCAAGTCCACAGCCATGGTTAGACGTTGAGAAAGCGTTTGATAATGTCTGGCACAATGGGCTTGTATACAAGCTTTGTAACTTCAACTTTCCATTACATCTGGTTAAAATCACCCGTAGCTACCTCCAGCAAAGGTCGTTTAAGGTATCGTTGAATGGTTGTCTTTCCGACACGTTTTCCATCCCAGCAGGAGTCCCGCAAGGCAGTCTGCTGGGACCCTTACTTTACAGCATTTACACTTCCGACATTCCTCCCCTTGGAGACGGTTGCGTGTTTTTCCTGTTCGCAGATGATACCGCAATAGCCGTCAAAGGAAGGATGCCTCGCGAAATAACGAACAAACTTCAACGATGCCTTAACGCCTTTGCTGATTATGCCACCACGTGGAAAATCAAAATCAATGCTTCCAAAACACAAACAATCATGTTCCTCCATCGGCAATCACCCAAACTAAAACCGGCTCCCTCTTGTACTGTAATCATGGATGGCACAAGGGTTGAGTGGTCCGCCGAAGTAACCTATCTCGGGATGTTGTTTGACGAAAAGCTCCTATTCCGCTCGCATGTGGAGAAAACCGTAGTCAAGTGTTCCGCCTTGGTTAGGAGTCTGTATCCGCTGATTTGCCGCAGATCCCGCCTCTCAAGGGTGAACAAACTGGCCGTCTACAAACAAATCGTAGCACCTGCGATCCTCTACGCAGCTCCGGTGTGGGAATCATGTGCACAGACTCACAGGAACAAAATTCAGGTCGCTCAGAATAGAGTGCTGAGGATGGTTCTTGATCGTCCTTTCGACACTAGAATAACAAATTTACATGAAGAGGCAGGCATTGCCAAAATAGATTCCAAAATTAACGAAATTAAGACTAAATTTACACAAAAATGTAATTTATCAGAACATGCTTTGATAAGCAATTTGTATATAGTAGGTTAGGTGTACATAGTAGTTGTAGGTTAGTTGTAGTTGTAAATAGTAGTTATAAGTAGTCTCCCTTTTCCAATTCAAATCAAACCAATCCCACCAAGGTGGTCATACTTTAAAATAGGCCTGATAGGACTAGGAACTGTAAATAATAATTAAAATCTCAAATGTACCAAAGTTGAAAAGACGCATCTGTGTCACTTAACAAATTCATACATGTAAACCACACAATCACAAGAAATAAAGATCTACCTTGGTGGGATTGGTTTGTTTTTCTCTCTGATTCTAATTGAAATGTCCCGCTATTTATACCGTTCTAAAAGTGAGAGCATCCTCCAAAGACACGCCCATTTTTCAGTCAAAATTGAATCCTATAGCAATCAAATTAAGCAATGACACTGCATAAGAACCCTAGTCATAGACATTTCAAACTAGCGAACAACGAATAGAAGATTAAGAATCACATAGATGAAGACTAACTCATTATTTCTTTGTTAAAAGATCATCCCTGGTCCAGGCAACCTGAGGACTTATCACTATTAACAAGGCATAAAAAGAAGAAACAGATGTGATTACTGAAAAATCCTGTTCCCCTAGTTTAAAGTAGTGATGTCGTAGGTCGTAGGTCTTACATTCCGTAACGTACAACGAAAAGGTGTCTGATTCGTATACGAGATATGATTAACCGTGAAAGCTCTTCTTACGATGACAGACCCATCACGGCATGCACTCGAAACGTATCAACTGTTCAAGAAACCAATCAGAGAAATAAGCAGCTGCAACAGATAAAAGTATTATAAAACAGTTAATACCGTTAACAAGCTGACCACAATTTGTTTCCCGTATCAAAAGCGATCTTTTCAATTACAGAAACATCTTAAACACACGCGATATCAGATCTTCCCACTGGCAGTGTTCGCCAACCCGAATAAAATTAATCATAATTTACAAAATACCTAATTATAATTTGTAAAACTGAATCAAAAGTAGCATATGTGTGCCAGTTATGGTACTAGTTCTCCTGTTTTTGGCCTTTGGGCCTATATCAAATTTGAAGTAAATGTTCATGATTTTATTTGCGTGGATATATGACAAAATATATGTTCTAATATTGTATCAAATTTTGAAAATGAAAATGAAAACCTTTTAAATTTAAGATTACTAAGGACCAACAACCGGTTCACTTTCCCTATTGTAAATGTATCAGTATTTTTACAAAACGTATTAAATATATTGTATAGAGGAAAAACTTATCATCAACCGAAAAATAAAAAAATGAGTGAAAATCAAAAACCAATACGATAACAATGAATGTTTTACTACATTTTTAATGGGGATTGCCGGCATTTAAAATGGCGCTGTCCTACGTGTTCTTGTATTTTTCTATCCAAAAACATTTGCTCTTCTTTGTTTATTATTCTGCTATTCGCTACTTCTCCGACAAAACGCTCATCTAACCATCCATCAACGATGAAAACAAGACGGGTGTGATCTCCACCGACCTATGATGCCGTCGTTGTATGTATGTCCGACAAGTGGAGGCTCGCGCGCCAAACCAGAGATAAAGCAACCGTACCCGTGCAGGCATCCGACGATGGTCAATGATGCTAATTTTCAAGTTCATGGGTATGTGACGGACGATCATAGAGGCCATAGCACAAGAAGATCACCACAGGAACTTTAGTCTTAATCGAGACGTCAACCGGGACGGAAGGATTTACAGCTTGGTGAAAGACCTCCGAAGGCACGCGCGCGTACGGCTAGAATGCAAAATTCGGAGGTGTCGCTAATAAGCTAATCACATTTATCAGTGTCAAAAATTGGTGTCAATCCCATCTGCAGCACGTAACGGGGTGAGATGGCACTCCCGGTGAAATTTTGTGTTTTTGCCTTGGCATTAGCAATGCTATGCATCGGTTCCGGAGATGCATTTTTCTTCTTTCTCAAGTCGCTAGCCCACATCGGGCGGCACGACGACGGTGACGATGACCGATACAACTTTGTGCAACCTACTTATGGCAGTAAGGCGACAGTTATATTATTTTGTTCCCCATTTAGCGTTTCCGAAAAGTGAAATTTGAACTCGTTTTATGCGCAGTGCGCTAGAAAAAAAAATATCTAATTTATTCGCTTGCTATGGCTTTGTTTGTTTTGTTTATCACTACGTATTATTGGTAACGCAGATCCACAGGTGAAAGAGATTCCGGAGTATGATTTTATTATCGTTGGTGCGGGCCCTGCCGGGTGTGTGTTAGCCAATAGGTTGTCGGAAAATTCACGATGGCAGGTTCTGCTGCTCGAGGCTGGTCCTGGAGAGAACGAGCTCAACAACATTCCTATCTTGACAACGTTTTTGCAGAACTCGCAGTACAACTGGGCCGACGTGGCAGAAGCACAAAACGGCTCTTGTTGGGGTAGGTATTGCACAGTTATTTTTAAACAAACTAAAATTGAAATAATAAACAAGATCAAGTGAAGTGCAGCTGTGAAGCAGACGGTCCAATAAATATTTGCACGCAAAATACTCACATACGAAAAATAATTGCACTACTGCGGACTTAATTGGCTTATTCTGCGAATGTCAGGGACTTCAGGTGATGCTTTCCTTCGCTTTGTCATTTTCATAGCTACTCTGGATGTAGTAATTATGATAGGTCGGCTTTCAATCTTTTAACTGTTCACGACACTAAAAGATGCAATCTAAACAACCTGAATTATTTTCGAGCAACTGAATGGGTTCCAAAAAAAATCCATTAACATGAAAAAAAAAAGTTTAACTGGAAAAAACGAGTTTCGTAGACCTCGACATTCGACAAAATGCGACTTCCTCAAATAAACCTTGAACATGGTAATAAGAGAGTAGTATAAAGTTCTTTGGACAAATTAATGTATGTTTCATAAGAGAAATACGTTGAACTGAACACTTTTCGGAGTCCGTCTTCCAGAGAAACTGTCCACACTTTCCGATAATTACTAATCGTTTCGTCATTTTGGATCTTTTCATCATTTTATATTTCCATTTCGTCAAGCCAGTGTAGACTACATACAATGATTATTACAATGTTTACTTACATACTATGCATTAATTCTATTCTGTTTTAGCTTAGTTTTTATTTGCTGCTTGGACATAGTGATGTCAATAGTTCCGCAATGCAAATTATGTAGGCGCATCATTCGATTGATTGGGCTATTTTTTGCATAGTTTGTTCTGTACGATGTTTCTGAAAATAAATTCCGTGTTCTAAGATATCGACAAGGTGTGTAAAAATTTAATTGTGCGAGAATTTCAGCCGAATCTATGCGCATTGAAATAATGTCGTTGATGAAGAAAAGCATTGCAAATTGGCGGCGCTCCTTAAGTGTTTGTATATTGATGAGCATGCAGCGCGCTTCATAAGATGGTAATGGAAATGCAGTCCAATTCAATTTACGTAAAGCATATAAGTGGAATTGTTTTTGGCCAGATTCTTCCGGGATTTCAAGATGTTTCTCCCTGGAAGAGAGGCACAATTTGAAAATACAGATTCAATATATTTTCAAGATCCTGGATATGCAGTATTCGTAATAGATATTACATTTCACGTCAGATATTATATTTTCGTGATTATATTACACGCCAGAAAAGTTCCAAGAGCTGCAATTTTTCCGGGAGTGCATCAACATTTTAGAAATTTTGACAGCTGGTTGATTAAATAATTTACATTGGTCAGATTCCATAGTATTACTGTAGGTTCTATCAAAAACTTATTCTAATAAAATTGAATTGTCTAGAATTGACTGGCCCATACTACAGGTGGACTCATCAAAGTTTCCATTAGCAATTTCCAATGCTACAAAAGCGAGCTTTGTGAATGTTAATGATTTAAATCAATTTTCGGTGAACAGACGAAAGATCCCGACTTCCAACAAAATAACACTGCAATAGGTTTATATACTGTTTAACGTAAAGTGTCAAATCAATCGAAAGTATGTAACGTTGCCATTTTTTAACTAGTAAACTTTTTTTTAAGTAAACTGATTCCTGTAAAGTACGCGCATCGAAGATTTATCTTTTTAATATGATCAAAGTTTCATACCTTTTAAATTAGGTTTAAAAATTAAAAATTAAGATCTCCACTAACTTTTGTTCCAAGATTAAATCTTGTGAAATATAAAACATCAACTACACAGCAAAAAATAAATTGATATCACATCAAAGTGGATGCACTTCAATCGTGTCGAAAATATGGTATAATATTACTTGACAAAAAGGACAAAATTATCATTAATACAGTGCATGAACTGCCATTACGCTGCTTTTACTGCATTTGTTAATTTTTGTGGCTTTAAAAATTACATGAGATTTTCGACATGATTGAAATGCACCTTTTGGATGTAATATTAAAATTTATTTGTTGCTGTGTAGATCTACAACTAAGGAGTAGAGCTCATAGATACATAGAAATACTAAGAGTAGGCATTATTTTTCCGATCATGGTGAACGATTTTCAAATAAATCAAATAATGGGATGGGGGGGGGGGGGGGAGACACTATTATTTACAATGGATGAAGGGGATAAGATTTCAAGTTTAATAGATTACAATGCTGATTTCGTTTCATTTATATAGAAGGGTTTTAAGGTTTTTCAATAAGTCTTACATATTTTTTAGTAATGTTGTATAACAAAAATAAAAGAATAGCTCTTTTCCACTGGCAGTCTAGATTTTTTTTTCTGGAAAAACAAGTATGCAAAGTTGTTCACATCTCACTTGCTCTCCTTTCATGTACAAATGCAGCTCCGGGAATGGAGCAGTCCCACGTCGAATGACGAATCGATTAGACTCGACTTCCTCCGATTTGCATGAAGCTTTGCATAATTGTTTGTTATGAGCAATCATTCACATTTGTAATAAAATTTAGCCATTTTGAATCTTACAATGTTTTTCAAAAATTCCTATTCGACATTTTTCAATAAATCGTAGCACATAAATGTCACTTCTAATTGAAATAACATCCGACATAAAGTTGTAGGAAGTAATACAATCTTTTTGGGAAAAATATAGATAAATTTCTTATTTGTTGGTTTGAAAAAATATAAAAGAAAAAAATTAAAAAAAATAACATCAAAAAACGTCCTTAAGCACAATTTATAATTTTTTCAAAAATGCAAACTTTTTGAAAACCTTGGATATTTAAAAATTGACAAAAATCGTAGAAAAACATCTATTGATCTTTGAATTTTTGCACAGAACACTATTTAAAAGGTCTTACATATTGTTTTCTGTGCAAAGATTATGATAAGAAGATTACTAAGAAAAAGTTTTAAAAAAAATGAGCGAAAGTTGTTATTTTACGATTTATGTAACTATTTATGTGTGTACTTTTAATTAGGCAAATGAACTCACTACTAGTAACTAATTCAGTGGCGTCTCAAAACATAAACTATTATCAAAAATTGCTTGCAATGGATAGATATCGAGTAAACTAGAAGATTAAGTGTATTTTTCAACCGATCCGAGTATGAATATGGCATTAAATCTGGTTTTGAAAGTTGGTGCGCAGGTAAAAAGTGAGGTTACGGGACGGCACTGAACAAATTCAATCGTTAAGGTATTGATAAATTTAGAAATAACAAAGATTCGCTAGAGTAGCCACTGTTTCGCTTTGTGTTTCACTATCCGTTCTGTAGTTCGTCGTCGGAAGTAGTTTTTCCCCTCCTTTCCTTGCTGTCGTCTGTCACACGTAGGGCTACGCGGGACGACAACCTAAAGCAGTGCATCCAGTGGCAGCAATAAGCTATTTAAAAAAAAACTAAATTTTAAACTAGCACATTTTTGTAATTTAATTGTTTAACCCTCTATTGGCTTTTACTCACAAAATTACAAAAAAAATGTCTGTGTATATTTTCCAGGAAATACATTATTTTTTCCTACAACTTTGTCTCAGACGTAATTTCGATTAGAAGAGACGATTACGTGTAACGTGATTTATTGAAAAATGTCCAATACGCCATTTTGATAAACGCAAGATTCAAAATGGCCTAATTTAGCACAAATGTGAATAATTGCCCGTAATAAATTGCCTATATTGAAATTTTCATGCAAATCGGTGAAGATTGAATGAAAAATATTTCTTTTTCTATTCCTATTTCGCCTGGAACTGCACAATGGATAGAATCCAGTTCAACTTGCTGAAAAACATCTTAGTCAGCGAAAAAATAGTTCCATCAGTTTCTGGAGCACAGCGTAGTTTCGAATGATTGGAGGCAAGTGAGAATTGTTGCCATTCATAAACCCGGTAAGTCTCCGTCCGATCATTACTATGATTGTTCACCGGTAATTTCGCTAATGTTCATATATGTATTTTAAAATGAAATCTAAAAATCTCTAAACATCCAAATGTGGTTTAAAGTGAGTGACACTGATAGACAGTGCTGTTAATTTTCATATCATTCGATTGAAGATGAACCAATACAACAATTCAATCAATTATGTGTAAACGAATTCTCTTATGCCCATCATTTGAACAACCCCTTTCTCAATCGAACCTCATCGTCACTGTCAATAGAGTCACTCACTATCATTTGATATACGACAGGAGAGTATGGAAGAAACCCAGCAAAATTGTCCCAAACAAACGTGTTGACCCGATATCGGATCAATGTAAGGCTAATGTGAGATCGATGTCGACCCAATGTCGGGTTGATTTCAGGTTAATTTTGGGTTTATGTCGGGTCAATATTGGGTTGGGGTTTGGTGTAAGTTAGGTTGGTGTCGGGTTTACTTAGCTTTTTCGCCGGAATGTCGACCAGAGCTCTATTTGTGTGTAGGTTACACTCAATTGAATGATATCAAGCGTTTCTCAAATGAGAATGATCCATGCCTTCGTCAAATTACTAAGCAAACTGATATCACCCATTCGAAGGAGGTCCCTTTGATAGCGTATAGCTGCTTTTCTCAATTTTCAAAAAAAATGTTCAATTGATTTTGATAATTTATAGCACTGCTGATAGATAAAGTAAGCGAATTCGAAGCAAAACAGATCTATTTGGCTTAGCTTACTTTATTTATCACTCTAACTCAATTTAAACCACATTTGAATGGTTAAGGATTTTTAGATTTGATTTTAAAATTAAAATATTAACATTAGCGAAATTACCACGTAATCATAACTCGTACTGTTCCAACGCACTTCACACATTAGGCCTCCCCAGGGCTGATGTTTAAATCCCATTTTTATAATTTGTATGTAGAAGACATTGACGATTGTCTTGCTGAACATTGCTCGCTAAGACAGCTTGCAGATGACGGCGTGTTTTCCGTTATAGGACCTTGCAAAGACCATTGCCAGATACTTCGGACAATTTGTCTGGGCCATGAAGCTGGGTATCGAATTCACTCCGGATAAAAGTGATATGATTGTTTTGTTTTTTTCTAGGAAGCATTATCCAGCACAAATACAACCTCAACGCATGGGTAGAAAAATCACTGATATCTTGTTTTTTAATGATTTAAGTTTCTGGTTCGATTCCAAGTTAATGATTTATTTGACCGCGAACGTAATTTTTTTTTTAAACGGAATCCGCTTAGAATAATACACCTCTCCTAAAAATTTCAGAAAAATCGGATGAGAGAAAACAATAAATAAGGGTCCAAATATTAATTCGCAGAGCAACCATATAGAACCTCGTTCTTTTGATCTGTTTTTTTACTGTTTTCCAGCATTTGTATCAAATGGACTTATGCGGTTTCTCAAATCAATTACTCAAATGCACTTGAAGAAAACATATTGCGTATTTGCCGCAAAAATGCCACCAAAGACTAAATTTTCCCGATACTCGATGCATACGATGAGCCTCGAAGTACTCGCGGGCCAATGAGATGTACACAGGTGTGAAAATGATCGTAAAATTGTGTTCGTGTAGTGCAAAATATGTCACGCCCCTCAACAGATCGTTTCGCTGAACTATCTTTATGGTTTCTCATCCGTTGCGAAGAAGTTATAACCCCATTCTGCCGTGAAATGACAAAGTTACGTAAACGTCATATGGCCAATTTCCACTTTTAAACAGATTCGAGAATACTACACACATGTACACACTTAAATTTTTTCGCCAAAATTCCCACAACCGAGCAATTCTGCAATATTTTTCTGAGATTCAGTCAAACAATTGCCGAGACTCAGCTAACAAATAACATTTTGCTGTGATATCAGCTAACAAACAGATATTTTGCAGAGATATCAGCAAAAGTAAATGCCGAGGTAATCGCCTGTTGGAGATTTTACCGAGCTAGATTAAGTGTGTACAAAATTTGAATTTGATATATACGGACAAAGAGAAACAGTGAACATGTTTCACTATTTCTAAACATAGATGACGTGAAGTAAAATCAAAATAGTTTTCATGAGAATCCTATTTCAATTGAGATGTTCTCATTCAATTCTGATGTTCCGTGTTTTAGGAAAAAAAACGTCAAAAGACTGTTCGACCAACCGTCTTTATGCTGAACGTTCTAACCTCGATTCTAGAGCAGATATTGATCAATAACAGTTGCATATTAACGGATTGAATAATTTTGAACTGATACTAAATAATATTAAAATACCAGTTAACACATACCAGTTACTTGGAACAATTATTATAGGTTGAATTATCCTATTGTTTGCTTTTTTTCTTTCTAGGTATGGTCGATCAGCGGTGCAGTATTCCTCATGGCAAAGGACTGGGCGGATCAACTTTGATCAACTATATGATGTACACGCGAGGTAACCCGGCCGATTACGACCGTTGGGCGTCTATGGGTAACCCAGGTTGGTCTTACAGCGATGTGTTTCCCTACTTCCTGAAAACCGAACGAGCATCCCTGCGGGGATTGGAAAAATCAGTCTACCACAACTTCGATGGAGAACTGAGTGTAGAGTTTCCCCCATTTCGTACAGATCTGGCGCAAACCTTCGTGAAAGGAGCCCGGGAAATCGGACACAAGAAAATCGACTACAACGGAAAAGGTCAGCTAGGAGTGTCCTACGTGCAAACCAATACGTTGAATGGAATGCGTCAAACTGCATATCGTGCGCTGATTGAACCCATTTTAGCAAACAGACCGAATCTACACGTGAAAGCCTATAGCCGAGTAACAAAAGTCCTTATAAATCCCAACACGAAGAGCGCCTACGGAGTGACTTATACGAAAAATTTCAGAAATGTTGATATACATGCACGAAAAGAAGTAATTCTTACAGCTGGAGCCATCAACACACCGCAGATACTGATGCTTTCCGGTGTCGGACCTGAAGATCTCCTCCAGGACATCAAGGTTCCTGTAAACGAAAATCTTCCTGTAGGACAAAACTTGATTGACAGTATTGTTTTCAGTGGTTTAACATTTGTATTGAATGAAACCGGGCATGCTTTACTGACTGACAGCAGGTTTCAGCTTCATTCTATAGCAGATTATTTCAATGGTCAGGGTCCACTGACTGTTCCTGGAGGAGTGGAAGCCATTGACTTCTTGCAAACGAGTCGAGCTAAGGAACCCGGTGTACCGGATATTGCGATTGTATTCTCCACTGGATCACTGGTTTCCGATGGAGGTCTTGGGTTGCGTAGCGGAAAGCGAATAAAAACTAGCTTGTACAACAAAGTTTACAAACCTTTGGAAACCCTACCGAATGATCAGTGGACTGCTACAGTGGCCTTACTGCATCCAAAATCCAGGGGTTACATCAGACTACGCAATGCAAACCCGTTTAATAGTCCGAAGGTTTACACAAACTATCTTACAGAGGAGGATGATGTGGAAACCTTACTGGAGGGAATCAAAGAAGCTGTCAGAATATCCAAATCTCCATCGATGAAACGCTTCGACGCACGAGTTCTCGGCATTCAACTTCCCAACTGCAAACAGTACGAGATTAGCGATGATGAATACTGGCGTTGTGCTATCCGAACGCTATCTAGCACAGCATATCAACAGTTGGGAACCTGCAAAATGGGACCGCAAGGGGATCCAACAGCCGTGGTTTCACCCAACTTGGAAGTACATGGAGTGGAAAATCTGCGGGTAGCTGATGTGAGTGTGGTGCCTACAACGATTTCGGGACAATCAGCCGCAATTCCCTACATGATTGGTGAGAAAGCGGCAGATCTAATAAAACAACGCTGGACGATGTGATTAGGCTTTAAGCAATGCAGAAAAGCAGTTTCGATTAAAACATGACTTCAACCGGTAATGTAAGGATCTTACAATGTAAGATGCGTATAAGCAGATTATGCATAAAGGTAGAAATAATTTATTTTATTCATAAAGTAGACTTAAAACAATTCTCAATAAATAAATAAAACTTTTAACTTTTAGCGAATATCGGAATGAGTTTTGGTTAATATTTTATTTGAACGAAAGCTTCAATGTTTCAATATACCGGTACTCAATCTCTCAACATCTACACGCAAACCAAAAATCTATGACAATGAATGTTAGTTTCGTTTCCTATCATCCTCTGTTCATGAACATCACAACGAATGTTAGAAGTTGACCTTACAGGCGATGTAATGGTTTTTTGTCTTTTTCATTTCGTGTTCTATCTACGCTTTCGACTATACCAGTAAGCTTGTAGAACGACGCACATTGTAGAACATTGTAGAACGACGCACACACTTGCCTCGAATCTCTCCAGCAGAAAAAGCATACGAAGTCGAGTATGCGAGAAAATGAGCGCTTCATGTTTGCTTTTAGGCTATCAGAAGCATGGAGAGAGCAGTGGAGAAAGCACAGATCTGATAATCGCAACGTTCGTGGTTCGAGTCCAGTCGGCAATCTGTTTCTTATTTTTTTTCGACATAACTAATTTATCTCACTAATACACTCTACATTTTTCGGTCTCCAAATTTCTTACATTGGACCGCAGCTAGGTATATCGCATCCTCGGTTCATGCGGTCTCCACTAACATCCTCTGATGATGAATCCCACATAATTGTAAGCGAATCTTACATCCCCCGGTTGGGTGTAGTACACTCAATTCTGTTTTGCGCGATTTTTTTTCGTCTCTGTTTTTGATCGCAAACCTTGGTTCAAAAAATGAAAAAAATTAAAGAAAAATATGTACTGCTGTTATACGCATAACTGTCCCATGTTCTGTGCAATTCATATGAGCCGTGGGACTCTTATGCGTATAACGGTAGAATATGGTGGTATTAAACCGATTCTGCATAATCGGAAACATTAAAATCGTGTAAAAACAGAATTGAGTGTATATTGAAGTTTATTTACTATTTACGCTCAACAAGTTTCCTTATTCCATTTCGGTTCAAATAATCCTTCAGCACCCGTAGAAACCTGTGATCAATTATAATTTATTCAACATTGCATGTTTTCCCGAACCACGAAGAAGTTTGTGTACGTTATCAAGGACCACCCGCTGGAAAGTCTACACAATATAAACGATGCAGCATTTTAAATAAGAAGGAACCCTCCAGTTTTCCCGACATTTTGCCTGAAGCCGAGATTAATTTAGTCCTGATTCATCCCTTGTGTTCGTCCTTGTACACGCGGTCCCCTTTTCATCGTTTTTCATTTTCCTACATACTTCAGAAGTTCAAAGTGCTTTTTCTTCAGTGATTTGTATACATCTACTGTGGGTTCATTAATCATCGAGTAAAACATATTCTATACATAGTAAAACTACTAATAAAAGAATGATGCACAATGTTCAAGTAATAGTATCAAAGATGGAATCAAGAATGTCTCACTCACAATCAACAAAATCGATACTCAAAGCACCACTATAATGTTTTAGTGAAGTAAAACCCTCGAATCAATCTACTCCCTCGCACCATTTGTATTGAAGTACCACCAAACCGTTAACTGCGACTCTTCGTAAAAAAAAAGCGTAAACCGTCATAATCTTTCATCGCAGTGATTAGTACGAGGGAACGTACAATCACCCTTCTAGTTGATGAACTAAAGACGACACGAATAGACGAAGATAGAAGGGGAAACCAGAAAGGGATGAGAACCATTTAGCACCGTTACAGTACAAGGGGTTACAGTACTTGTGCGTGAACATTGATCTGTGTTTTATTGAGAAAAGTGGACAACCAGAACCAGCAGGAGGAAGGAGACATTGAATGAATGCATATGCAACCAATGAATTTCATGGTACGTAGTCAGGGGACTCAATTACTGTATTTCTAACTCGATGTCGTAAATTAATGTATAAGATTGCAAGCGAATAGGATGTTTTTAATTGAAAATAATGCAACTTTGGGGGTGGTTTGAAACTTGCTTCTAAGGTAGCAGTTTATAAGTTATAGTTCAATCCAGTACCCCTGGAACACACTCCAGGCGAGGAGGATCAACCGCAACTAGAGCATGATTGCTTCTCATTCATCAACACACTTCCTCTATCGTGGTTCTCAAAGAACGATGAATTTAAATTAATATTTCCTGATCTTCCACAACTACAATGAGTCACCAAGCGCATTGTTCTGTCGGAGATGTCGCTGGTGGGATTTTAGAAAGAAAGTGGTCACTCAAATGTTCGTCCTGTGGCTATGGTAAGATCAAATGAATTCGGACGCCGTAATGGCTGTTTTTTTTCGAGAATATCGGTGTCATCCATTTTCACGTTTCATGATTCAGGGAACGTGAATAAACAACTACTCATCGTGAAATACCAAGTCGCTCCAGCAGCACCTATTACACTCCATGATTGAACCTCTGTGCAGCAGTTCTTAGAAGTCAGTTGGCAGACAGCATCCGTACGACCATGAAGTTTTATGTCAAAATCACGTTCAATCCTGGTCCGATCTAGGAATTTTTGGGTTTGGAAATTTATCGACTTCCCTGGGTATATAGTATGATTGTACTTGCCACACAATTATACTAATGCAACAGTGCTACAACACCGAAAGCTCTCAATTAAAAACTGTGGAAGAGCATCTAGAACACTAAGTTGAGAATAGGCAATAAGCTAATATGCGATAAGCAATAAGCATGAAATTTCGAACAAGAAGAAGAAGAAGCAGAAGAAGAAGAAGAAGAAGAAGGAGATGAATAAGGATGAGTAAGTATTTGTGAGTGAGAAGCAATGCTCAATAGCAAAATAATAAAATACTCTTTACTACCATGATTGATTCAACTAACTCAGCAACTAATATATCCTGCAAACATAAAAAATATGAATTATATAATTTTGTATTCAATTAGCGAACATACTAAAAAAACTCACTCTATTTTTGAAGCAGGTAAAGAGTGAGCTGTCAAAATAAGGAGAGCACGTCGAACAACACATGTGGCGATAATGAATATGATTTTTTTTTCTCAAAAGCTAACATGGTGTTCAAAGCATATTTTTGCACTTTTATTCAATTGTATTATGGACAGTACTAATCTCGTCGCATTAAACTATTTTCAAATAGTGAACAGAAGTGAATGGGATACGGCAATCAGTTCAGTGATGTATGCTTTTAATCAACACTTATAGCAAAATGATGTGAGGTCGATTTTAGCAAAACGATATAGTGGTTCTCAGAATTTCGTAAAAAATTATAGTTTTGTTCCGCAATATATAAGACCAGTATTTTTTTTTATTAGGGTGCTCATTTCCATGTTAGGGTGGTCCAAAAACTTTTTTTTTCATAAATGACAAATCATAACTTTTGAATCACTGGGCCGAATACAAAGATCAGAATATGAAATGAAAGGTAATTAAAAATACTGTTTAGCAATATCATGATTTTATATCCATACATTACGTAGATGGGCACAATAGTGCCTATCACAAATTACGTTATACAGTAACCCCTCCACCGCGGTACTGTCTACCCACCGCTGTTTCTCGGCTGTCCTTCAACCAATGATGCTGATATTTTGTATGTGATTAGAGACAATTATAAATATTCCTAGATTTTGATACAGTACGTGCAATAGATATGGGGAAAAGCATGACACAATGCAAGGGATTAACAAAATTGAAATACAAAAAAATATTTTGGATTATCTCTGGGAGTACATTGAAAATGTCTTTATAACAGTGCAGAAATTCTCTACAGAACACCCGAAAAATTACCTACGAATTCTAAACATTTTCTAAAAATTCACTGAAGCTTCTTTCCATTTTTTTTCAATTCGCTTGAATCCTCCTTAGAATCCCCACCTCAGAATTATCTCACCTCACTTTTTACCTATGCAACAACCATCTAAACCAGATTTAATGCCATATTCATACTCGAATCGCTTGAAAAATGCACATAATCTTGTAGTTTACTCGATATGTTTCCATTACAAGCAATATTTTGATAATTGCTTTTGTTTTGAAAGTTGGTTCACAGGTACATTGAGGTTAAGGCGACACCACTGGAGCCATCTTAAAATTATGCTTTCGAAATGCCCTTGAAATTATTCTCGGAATTATCTTAAAACACCTCTTAATTTTTTTTAAATTTACCCTTAAAATTTGATACCCCCCCCCCCCCCCCTGGTATGGTCCACGGATCCTGAAATCCTCTTCACAAACGCTATGGAATTTTTCACAGAGCTTCTTAACCGTTATGTGCTCGACAGAGTACCCGCTGTAGAAAAATTTGAAATAAATGTCTAGCACATAAGGGTTATACACAATTACTTTGACTTCACACAATTGACTTGGGATTTCTAGTCAAAATTCTCTAAGAGTTCATCTCAAAGCTCCCTAGGACATTTTCTCTGAAATACTTGGTGTTATCTCTAGAATTCATTCTAAAATCTGCTTTAAGCAATTAATATAATTGCTATGGAGAAACATTCCAAAATTCTCTAAATAGTTCTTCAAAATAAAAGTATCCTCAAAATCTAATTCATTTCAAGGGTTTTGAAATATAATGAAGGCCCAAAATCTTCTTTTTTTCGAAGCAAGGACGATGTTTTTTTACTTCCTAATTTGTCATCGTAATTCACATGTTTTTCCTTTCTTCTACTTTTTCTTAGCAGTTCAAGCTTATTGCTTATCGCATATTGGCTTATTGCGTGCTCTCAACTTAGTATTCTAGATGCACTTCCACTGTTATTAATGGAGAGGTTTCGATGCATGTACCATTTTTGTCATTAGTATAATTTTGTGGCAAGTACAATCATACTCTATGCCCAGAAAAGTCGAGAAATTTTCCAAGCCGCAAAATTCCTAGACTAGACCGGGAATCAAACCCAGCCACCTCCAGCGTGGTCTTGCTTTGAAGGTGCCCCTTTACATACTGAGCTAAGGGAGGGCCAACGGGTTTTTCCCGGTAGCTTCGAATTTCCCGAATTCCCGGATCACTGGTAACCCTGCGAAACGTATCACATCCGGATGCATTGTACGCGACGATT